TTCTATAGAATATTCACTGTTTTAATATTACTATAGAATATTCACTGTTTTAATATTTCTATAGAATATTCACTGTTTTAATATTTCTATAGAATATTCACTGTTTTAATATTTCTATAGAATATTCACTGTTTTAATATTTCTATAGAATATTCACTGTTTTAATATTTCTATAGAATATTCACTGTTTTAATATTTCTATAGTATATTCACTGTTTTAATATTTCTATAGAATATTCACTGTTTTAATATTTCTATAGAATATTCACTGTTTTAATATTTCTATAGAATATTCACTGTTTTAATATTTCTATAGAATATTCACTGTTTTAATATTTCTATAGAATATTCACTGTTTTAATATTTCTATAGAATATTTACTGTATCTTCAGGTAATAAGGAGACATCTGAAAACTGAGAAACCAGATCTTGATGAGTTTGGAACAGAGCAGGATATTTTACTTACAGATTCTATATTTCATGGTTTTGGTCAGAAGACAGAAGATGAAGATTGTGTATGTGAAGACAGTGTCTCTAACAGGTCATACATTATTCTAGCTTTCAGGATTTCTTACTCCCCCTGTTAATGGTGCAGATCAGAGTTGCTGACATGGAAAACACGTGTAGTCTTTCAGATGAGACAATAAAAAAGGGTTTCATTTGCTGCAGGCTGTAACAGGATTTGCTTTCTTAAAGTTACCAGCAGTTAATAAACTTTTCATATGAGGAAGTATATCAATTGTAAGTGAGTAAGTATTTCATAGTGGAAAGTGGCATCAGGTGTCTGTATGTATATTTTCAGACCAAACCGAAGAAATGAAGTAAACAACAGAAGAATGAATCGATTCCATCCTAAACTAAATAAATTAAAACGCCGTCAGTTAAATAAGTTAAAGAGAAAATCAAAACGAGGGAAAGAATGTAACTCTGAGAGTATGAAATGTTTTACTCATGACAATAATCACTGGAAAACTCCTCCTAAATGGATCTGTACGTATTTCTTATAGTGTTAGTCTTCATTCACACTACGAGCAGACCAGGGTGGCTCAGAGCAGAGCAGTTAGTAACAGCATTAATATGAAGTTAGTTGTCAATGTACATACGCTCAGCTGTTAATGCTGCAAGTGGAGCAGAACAGAGCTGAACAGAGCTGAACAGAGCAACATGGTTAGGGAATTCAGGGGTATTTTTTATTGCTTGCGGCTAGCAGTTTTCCACTGTTCAATAAGCATGAAAAATAAAGTCACAGGAAAGTGTACACAAAATGTTAATGTGTCAACAACTACGCTCTTCTCTATGTCGCCCTGCTATCCTTGTAGTGTGAATGAACCCTTACACTGAGATTCTAGTGTGAGATGTCCTGACTGGACCAGAGGTTTGGGCTGGGATTCTAGTGTGAGCTGTACTGGGTGGACTAGAGGTTTGGGTTGAGATGCTAGTGTAGGCTGTACTGAGTTGACTAGAGGTTTGGGTTGGGATTCTAGTATGGGCCATCCTGTATGGACTAGAGGTTAGGGCTGGGGTTCTAGTGTGGGCTGTACTGGGTGGACTAGAGGTTAGGGCTGGGATTCTACAGTGGGCTGTACTGGGTTGACAAGAGGTTAGGGCTTGGATTTTACAGTGGGTCATCCTGTGTGGACTAGAGGTTAGGGCTGGGATTCTACAGTGGGCTGTACTGTGTGGACTAGAGGTTAGGCCTGGATCCTACAGTGGGCTGTACTGTGTGGACTAGAGGTTAGGGCTGGGATTCTACAGTGGGCTGTACTGTGTGGACTAGAGGTTAGGGCTTGGATTTTACAGTGGGTCATCCTGTGTGGACTAGAGGTTAGGGCTGGGATTCTACAGTGGGCTGTACTGTGTGGACTAGAGGTTAGGCCTGGATCCTACAGTGGGCTGTACTGTGTGGACTAGAGGTTAGGGCTGGGATTCTACAGTGGGCTGTACTGTGTGGACTAGAGGTTAGGGCTGGGATTCTACAGTGGGCTGTACTGTGTGGACTAGAGGTTTGGGCTGGGATTCTACAGTGGGCTGTACTGTGTGGACTAGAGGTTAGGGCTGGGATTCTACAGTGGGCTGTACTGTGTGGACTAGAGGTTAGGGCTGGGATTCTACAGTGGGCTGTACTGTGTGGACTAGAGGTTTGGGTTGGGATTCTACAGTGGGCTGTACTGTGTGGACTAGGATGTTACAATAGTAGTATATTTTTTGATTTCCTTTCAATACCTCTGATATATTTTTTTCCTAAATTTCCCTGATTTCTTTTCTCCACTGTTTGTTAGCACAAGTTTTTTTCTCTTGAAACCACTCTGAGACTGAGTTGTCGACTTTAAAGTGGCATGTTAAAGTTGGACTATGTTTTATTATATAGTGTAGATAGTTATTTAGTGAGAGTTACTTTCCTTGTATTAGATAGATTTCTATATCTAGGACCATTTTACATGTCTGTGGTTCCTGCAATTAAAACTAAAACTAAGTGCTTGACTCATTGCAAAACCTGCTTGTATCACTTAGACACATCCCAATCCTTGATTAGTGACGGCATCAAACACTTAGACTTAATTTTAATTGCAGGAACCACAGATGTCTG